ACTTATTAACAGAAGACCAATACTTTGCCACGAATCATCCAAACCAATGCAGCGTGTAACTTTGAACGGTTGCGTTATCAGTCATACACGGTGATACGTAAATAGGAAATATCAGTTGTCAGATTCATCAGGCTTCTTCCGGCAAACGTGAAAGATTAGTCACTCGTTAGGGGGAATCGAAATGAATTTAAAAGCGTTACCAATTTATACTGCTCTCTCTCTCTCTCTCTCTCTCCCCCCCCCCCTCTCTCCTTCTCTCTTCTTCTCTCTACTTCGTTACCTCTATCTCTCGCATGGGAACCGGACCAGTCGTCTTGCTGCGCTATCCTCTCACCGCACCAGACTATCCCGAGACTATGCATCTCTCTCCCCCTTATGGACCTTCCTTCTCTGTCTTTGATTATTTCATACCTGTTCCAGAACCCCTCTGCCCCTCCTCCCCCTCCCCGCCATCTCTCTCTCCCCCTCTATTAAAATACATGAATTCATCTAATCAGACTGCTTTGTAATCCACTTGGATCGTCCCAGTGGTACTCGTATTACTTGGAATGTACATTAATTTTGTCATTTAATAAGACGATTTAACGGTTAGGCCGCATGAGTGCGAATTGTATACACTAGTTTGATATTAGGTAATACCTAGGTAGAGATTTTTACTTTAGTTAACGATAGTATTGCGAATCCATGGCCGTAAGTAGTCCTGCACTACGTGAATGCTGCTGCTGCTAATGCGCCGATACGTTTACGTCACCGCGTGTCCATTTGTAAGATTTATCCGAACGTTCATCCGGTACGTTGGATTGGACGATCGATTTCTGCGTTACGGTAGCCGATTACTCTTTTTTTTTTTTTTTTTTTTTTTTTTTTTCAGTTAAATTTGCATCTACAAAGAACTTCTAACGAGAATGAGATTTCATGAAAGAATTTTCAGGCGACGTCTCTTTTTTTTTTTTTTTTTTTTTTTTTTGAAATTATCAATTAGCCGTTACGGTAAAACGATAGGTAGGAAATTTCGGACGTTGCGGAATTCAATATTGTACGTTGCTTCGGGATTCAGTCGATCGAACCAAGTGCCGATTGATTCGGTCGGATGGATCTTTTGAGATGGAATTTTTTTTGGATTAACGTCCGAACTCTCTCAGTTCGAGACTACCGATTTAATGAGGGATTTGGCATTTAATCGTTTTTGATCTACTTACATTGATTTTTTTTTTTCAAACTTCTTAAGAACCAATGTCGCATTTAATTTTTTTTTACTGGTTCGATGACGATTCCCGTCATTTTCGTGTATTATTTATGTCTGGTGACGTCACGACTGTGAGATTGCGCGAATTTAGGGGTCTTTAGTGGATTCGGGATGACAATATTGTATTCCGTAAAATGTACCTGGTGGCTTGTCAACAAATTTCCGTCGGAGGGATACTCTTTTTTTTTTGTATTTTCTCAATTTTGAGGGTTGAGAGGGAGAGTGGGGGTGAGATTAAAAAAATTATAATTGGGTAACTGATCGAACGATTGGACATATTCGTGGATGACGTATCAGTATCTTTGTCAATGATTTTGGAATGCGAAATTATTTTGCGAGTGCAAAAATTGTTTTTCTTTCTTTCTGTTAGTCCGTCGCTGCCGATTGGTGGTAACTTTTTGAAAATTTATCTACTGCGATTTTACGTACGCCACTGTATCCTTCGGGTTGAGATTTTCTTTTTTTGAGAATTTGCCGGACAACGAAATTTTACCGGAACGTCAATGAAAACGAGCACAGCACACTTCAGCCTGTACTATTGTGAAAGGAGCAATTTCAGTGCATTGGAGGGAAACGAAAGAAAAAAAGAGGAATAATAATAAATACATAAACCACAACGTCATCCTGTGCGTCATGCATCGCGAATGAAAAAAAAAAAAGAAATACATTTCAATTAATAAATTTGTAAATTCAATCGGGTCTCGCGTGAGTTCCTATATATATGTATATGTGACAAGCTTTTTCGTAAATTTTTTGAATTTGAACAAATTACGTAACACGTGGTCGAGTGTTTGAGATAAAACGAAAAAAAAAAGAATTTGGACGGTCTCAAACCAAAGTAGTACAAAGAAAGTAGCTGCTATGCGAGGCCTGATCGGATATTAGGAAACACGAGTTGTAAAGGCATAATAATGGAGAGAATGTGTCTAATAGAAAAAGAGAAAAGCAAATGTAAAATTGTATCATGTCTGAATGATCTGTCAATCGAATATCCCTGCATCTTGTTTCGGTATTCATTTTAGGATGACTTATATTTTATTTTTTATTAAAAATGCAATGATTGTATATGGGCTGCACTTGAATCATGATCGAATGTAATGATTTATTAAGTAATGCAAAATAAATGGAAAATATTCAAATAATTACCTTTTCTCTATGTGTATATATATATATATATATATATATATATATATATATATATATATATATAATAATTACATATAATTATATATTGTATAACTTCAAGTTCAATAGCGACAAAAAACTGTCTTTCCTACCGTCGATACGTATATCCCGTTCGCGCTAACAATTTCCTCTGTTCTGTATCTCATTTCCGTTACCGACAGCCGGAAGTAATATAGTATGTTTGAAAAAGTAGTGAAATATTACTACTCGACTTGTATCCTTGTATATTTGCGACATGTAAACATGCCTGCGACACGTTGACAATTTCCCTTATGTAGAGGAAAAAAGGTTTTTCCCACGTATATCAAATACATCACAGAACCCATCCGTTGCAATCTGATATGAAAAATAAAATAAATCTCTTCCTTTTCCTACAATTCACATTTTCTCCTAGTCCTAATCTTCTCTCTTCTCTCTTTTACTCGTCAAATTTTTTCGTCGTCCATCTCTTTATTTAACCTTTTCCCACTTATTTCGATCGAAACTTCACACCAATTTCTTCGTACTAACCCACTCGACCTATTTCAGCTCATATTTCGAAGTACGTTGTAGCCATATGGATTTCATGTTTTTAATACGGCATCCAGTCAATCATACGTGGCCATCCATATATCGATTATTTCACTAGGAGTCAGTAGTATAGTCGCCCTGAGACAGTCGGCCTGACACATCGTAATTTCTTCTACTTCCATCCGCGTGAAATCCGACAACGTTCCTTTGGTTAGCATTCCAAAATTTTCCTATTTCCAAATTGGATGTGCCTCTTTCGTCATACCTATAAAAAAAGTGAGTTCCTTCATTTAATAATTAACGCTCGCGACAGCTCGTAATCAAAGACAGGTAAAAAAAATATTTACATAAACACTATAACGCCCAAAAATACAAAACAGCAAAGTTTAAAAAAAAAAAGATTTTTCTTAAACTCTGATCAAAAAATTATTTATAATTATCAGTGTAACATACAGGTATAACGAGCATTGACGTTACTCGTTTATCACTAATTTTTATACTCGATGCTCGTTCCACATTTCTAATTAATAATGTTACAAAGGATTTTGCCACGTGTAATCAAATTAATGATAATTATATTGGCTGAGCACGTCGTACAATTTATATATACCTAATATAATTTAAATTATTAAGGGGTGAACTTTGTAAAGTTTTTAATTAGTAGTCATAGGTCGTCTCGTGTGGGGTCAATTAATTTCTTGTTTTATTTTACATAATTATCGAGCTTTACGTGTCGTCAGATGTCGAAATGAATTTTACGCTGATATAGGTCAGTATGGTGAGTATTATAATATATGAAGTATATATGTGCATATATACCTTCACAAGAAATACACGTACCACATGTGCTAATACAAGAAAGCACGATCGATATTTAACTATATACAATGAATGCTAACACGGAATGAACACGTGCAGTAAACATACCTACTGACCAGCTTTGTCCAATATTATTATTATGCACTAGCTTATGTCACGTGACGGCTGCATCTTCAGTCCTATCTTCTTAACCTGGACGTCTTTAGTCGTGAAAATTAGTGCTGGTGAAATTGTTAAGCAACATGTATGTGGTGAATTTAGTTGAAATGGAAAATAACTATCTGCCCGGCAGACGTAAGTTATGTGTATATGTCAGGTACATGGGAAATCAATATTCTTGACAATTGTAGGGGAATCTACTTACGTATACACGAAGGGCTCAATACTTTTATGGCAGGATCGTGCTGGTTTGTGGGAATTGTTAATTTCTTTGTTTCATAAGGCATTGAATTAATTATGAGACCTAGTGTAGGTATTGTTTGATATGTACCGTGTGGTCAGGAAATTGAGGTTAGTTTTAGAGACCGTATTGTAAGTGATGCTTGGGGAATCGGTAGGTGGTGGATTATTGTTACTTGGAGTTTTTCTTTTTTTCTTTTTAGGGAGAATTTTGAATTATGAAGTATCAACAGGTGTCTGTGGATTTGGTCAACATGGTTATGACGGCTTGTTCGTATTTGGCACTTGCCGGAGCTGCTTGGATATTCTTGAGACTTCTTCAGGCTTGCTTCTGGCTGCCGCGACATTTGCGCAAGCAAAATGACGTGCAGAAAATGTTGCAGGATAAGGTATGAGAATTTATTTGATTTTGATATTTTTTTTTGTATATGGTTATTTTTTTATTATGGCTTTCGAACGATTTTTTTTACTCAGGTTGATGGCTACGAAAGGTATATGTTGGAGTGCGAGGAAAAGGATCGGGCTATGGGCATCGATAGGAATTTAGAGAATTTTTGCGAGGGCGATGAAAAATCTGAAAATGATTCCAACCCCAACAAGTGGAAGGAGAGACGAGAATGTCTGGAGATGCTGAAGCGCGAATTGAATCGCGTGCGCGACGGCGGTGATATCAATGATTGGGATTATCTTCTTGAAGAAGATAAGGCGGAGAATTCGGCGAATGGCACGGACGTTGATAACGAGGAAAATCTTGGTATTAACGTGGAGGATGGGAAATTGGAGCAGGGCGAAGATTCCCACGTTGATGAGAAAAAGGAGAAGTAATTAATGCTCTTCTTCGAAGGAAGCTCGGATGAAAGGACAAACTTTTATTTTACATAGTCATGCAACTTTAGATTACGCAAACGAATATTTTTTAAAGGAACTCAACATATCTTACAACGTGCGGAGATACTTTCTTTTTATTTTATTTATTTTTTCTTATCTATATCAATCTTACAAATTTTTTGTATTACTTCAAACGTGACCAAGAGCGACGCTATGATGATAAGAATAATTAAATAATGCAATTTGTATAAAAAAATCTTTTTTTTTATTAATAATTCTTCGCTCTTAATATTAACAGTAAAGCCGTCCATTGATACAAAGTCTGTATACAGTGTTTTGAAATGTATGTAGATAATTAGTAGTGATAATCGTGACGTCATCGAAACGTCAATACCTCATTTGACTGTAGCATCTCCTTTGTACTGTGAGAGGCTCGATGATAAGATTATAAAGTGTGTTTATAGATCCGTTATCTTAAAAAAAAAGAAATCCATAAAGAATTAGTAGACTAATTAAATTTTACATAAGTAGTACAGAAAAATGCTCAATATTATTTTTAAACTCCTACGAATTCGTTTGTTTTACTACACAATATATGTATACTGTGACGTGATTTTTCGAATCACGGTGACAAGGCGACTCCAGATACCGATTCAGATAACGTTCTCGTTTTCCGGTCTCCTTCGATTCGCCATTCTGCTCAGGAACTGAGCTCTCGAATCGATTCGTAAAGTTACGCGAATGCTCTCGGAAGATTTTTTATTGTTGACTCGAGGTCGAGGTACTCGAATCTGTCGTGGAGAGAAAATCTCAACATAACGAGTTGCCCGGCAGAGGAGACGACCCGACGGAGGCTTCTTCACGGACCGGCAGAGGTCCGGCTGAGACACCAGCCCTAAGAAACACTCGCGATTTAGTTTAAAGGGACGACTGAGGGGAAAGGATAATAGTCATTGGCTATTAGGATCTCGACCAACCGGAATGATTAGTTACCGAATTTTACTATTGTCAAAGTCAGTCTGTCTTGGGACACCGATCGGGGTGCCTCGAGCCGCCTCGCGCTCCCGTGCTGTTTGTTGATAGTTTTTCCAAACGTGTTTCCTACCCGGTATAAAAAGTTCTCGTTTGTGCAGTCCTCGCGTTGCTCTCGCAATATCCAGAAAATCCTACCGATTTTCTGCGTGCGTTTCGGAGGTGCAGTGTCGTGCTACAGTGCAGTGCCCACCTGAGTGCCCCCCGGATGGAGTTCTCGGCCTTCACGGATCAGCTGCACCAGCTCCGGTGAGAACTCCCAATTTATTAATTGGTGGAGGGATTTCAATTTTATAGCTCTAATTCGTTCTGCTACGTTCTCGATCAATTGCTCTCCGTTTCCAGTGCTATTTACCTGATGTTAATTCCGACCCTCTTTACCTTAACCTAGCAATCTGAGCGGCCGTGCATTTCCGTAACCGTTAGTTTTCGAATTTTCGTTATCGATGTGGAGTTAAGAAAATACGTTACAATGCATACATTTTTATTATACTCACGGAAACCAAAGCTTTAACAGTTAAAATAATGTAATTAAATGTAAAACAACAAGAAATAATTGTAACTCTATTAACACGTGTTACAAGTATCACAATAAAAGAGTGTTTTTTTTTGTTAAACAAAAGACTTTTTACCGATAGCATATACAATAGTTCTTTCGCATTAATGAACTTATCTGTACTAAAGATAATTACTGTAAAAGTTATAGAAAGCAATTTTAACCACGCCATTTGCCAAGGATAATAGAAACGTCTGGATAACATTATAATTAATCACCAAGAAGCAGGCACGATTTACCTACGTATTATTAAGTACGTTATACTATATTATCCAGTAGTGCGACGCAACTACAAGGCCAAGGTTGCAAAGTAGGATAAACTTAAAAGGAGCCACGTTTTCTGGCAAATATCCAACTGGAACGTAGTTTATTTTGTTCAACTGCAAAGAAGTGTGGTTATGCTGCGCCAATGCCTTGCAAATTTTCTCTTTCTGAGGTCCATAAGTAAAAACTGAAAAATTTAAGACATTCTTTCCTGTCTATAGAAAGCTCGCGACTATGGAGCACGCAGCTCAGACGTAAGACAAATATACGTAGTAGTCATTAAAAAATTCCTTGTTTATTCCCTCCACGAAATAATCGTGAAAAAAAATGCAAGGTCGTTGAAACAAGGCTTTTCTAATAGAACCAGCTGAAAGCATACGAGGTCGATTAATATTCTTGCATCAAAGTACAGTAGCCAATCAATTTCAAAAGGCTAATATCAATAATCGTACTACGTAAGTATTTTTTTCGTATATCGATCATTTGAATTGTGTTGTTCAAAATTCCTAGCAGGTGTCGCCACTGTAGGTCGAACGGTCGTTGCGCGCGACTTGTATTATTTGTTCGTAGAGAACGCCCAGGCAGGTGGCGCTGTGATCAACCGGGTAGTTGAGGGTGAAATTCGCCCCCCGTAAAAAGTCTTAAATAATCCGTGAATCCTTAGGCGTGAGTTACTTATAATTCCGTTTATCGTTTGCCTGAAGGATGCGGGGCGCGTGTTGTTTATTATGAAATCACAAGTGTCGCGGTGGAGACCTGCGATGGAAACCGGCGAGGAGTCATGCTGTGCAAACTGCGATGGAATTGAAGGATAATGACAGAGATAAATCGTATCGCGAGCTAGGGGTGGACAAGAATATGTGAGTAACCTTTTCTATTTAGCTTATTTTTGTTAATCGTAGTCTAAGGATGTCACTTAATGGCGGCGTCTCCGATGATGACATTTATGGCGGGATGCATCTGCTGCGCCGTCGTATTTCTGTCCTTTACGTCGTCGTATTTCTGTCTTGTGCCGATATATTACTATTGATAACCCACGTGGGTTCTCATTCGTCGATGAACCTTTAATTAATTAAATTGCAAAAGCTTATGCAATATTTACACGCGTCCATGCGACTAAAATATTTCGTTATTCTTGCCCACAGAATTTGTCATTTCTACAATTCAAATCAGGCGGAAATTATAACAAGACGTTTGTAATAACGCGTAGAGAACTCCTAGTGAACGTCACTTGCTTTTTGTTTTTTATTCTAAACTTCACGGTGAACCGAATCAACTAGAAATATTATATGCATATTAGATAATACGTCATCCGTTGCCCCAGTAACAGGTTATAATCCATAATTTTCTATATAGGGGATGAATCTATGCCCCATTGACAACCCTTTATGGTCAATGAAATATATGTATTCCTCTCAGTGGAAATTCGACCTTTTATCTGCTCGGACACGAGGGTTACCGACCCGTGAAAGACGTCACGAGTTACGTCATTGATTCTAGACACATACATAGTTTACCGTCATTTATTTTTCTAACAGTACAGAAATAGCCTTTCTCAATAATGTACAAAAGCGTTACCAGCTGACAGACAATAACCTCTCTCCGCGTTCTTCATATTCACATACGATTAAAACAGTTCTGAGTTCCGAAAATTTCGAGATTCAACAACTCTCCGGCGCATCTAAATACACAAATCTTCACAGTGCAAATATTAAATCTAACCTTTGCAAGATCCACAATTCATTAATATATCCATTGTCCATACAAATAATTACCACCGTTTCGATCAGTAAATCAAAATGCAGATTCTTCCTATAGCATTAAGAATTCCAAACTCGAAAAAGTCATTGAATCGATCTGTATCAGTGTCCTCCATAATATTCATACATTCTAAGAAGCACCTATTTTCGTTTCCTTCCTCACGTATCTTCACGCAACTAAAAATCCCGAGGTTGTCACGTAGCAAAATACGTCCGCCATAGTTCTGACAATCGTGCTACACATATATATATATATATTCCATCATAGATCATAGATTAGGAAAACTATACCTCTAGCCTTTAGTACCTTGCACGTGTCCCTTCGCCATACTATTTATATACGTCTCATTATATCCATACGCTACATGTATAAACCTGCCTATGAACAGAATGTAATTCCTATTCAAAGTACTCTTTTTATCGGTGTGTTTTATACCCAAGTACTACGCGCGTTCGTACGTCTCTTCCTGCATGTCGTATCTACGTGTATGGCTGCGTCTGGAAAATCGTGTATACCACGCAGCTTCATCCTTATCGATCCGTACCAAACCAGCCAAGTCGTCCAGCCTCCATCCAGCCCGTCAGCCATTCTCTCATCTCTGTTGTATTCTCCTCCCTCTCGCTCCCTCTCTCTCTCTCTCTCTCTCTCCCCCCGCCAATCCCCTCTTCCCTCAATTTCTCCTCCTCCTATGATGATCCTCTCTCTCGATTAACAAGGATCGTTGACGTCGGCGCGCTAAACTCGTAAAACTTTACTTGGTATTAAATGAGAAGTTTTTCTTATCTTCCCTCTCCATCGTCAGCCATGTTGATCCAAGCTATCTATTTCAGTCGCACATTTTCAGTGGGCTCATATTTTTATACGTAAATTTTATAGCGCCATAACAGATTCCTGAATACATTATTTTCGTACATACGGCTATTCGGGACTGTTGCACTACTGGGAGATTTCGTCCGGCTGATTTCTAGTAATTCCTATGCAATCTTCAGACGACGCGACAGTCCATAACCAAGCGCGCCTATGGTTATTTTGGGATTGGTGAAGCTTCTTTTTTGTCATTAACCTCGTAATTTTGTTTAATGTTTTTTGACAGATGAATACTGGATAGGTGCATTTTTTCTTAGCTATCTCGCTGTTGTACGATGATAATTCAAGACTTTTTGAGAGAAGGCTGAGACGTCAAATATACCATTGAAGTAACCCTTAGAGACGATATATATACATCATATATAGGGGTAGCTTTTTATATAAAGAAAAGATAGCGGTAAAGTAAATAAAAAGGGGACACGGTGACGCCACTGTATACAGGGTGAACCAATGAAATATTTATCTTTCTAATGTGCTACTGCTATCAATGGAACTCGAATAGAAATTATTTCGCGAATACGACTGTATTAATGGCCGCGCCACGTGCGTGGTAGATTATTCTTTCGAGGCGTCGGTTCGGTTGCAATTAATTTTTCGACTCCAATTTAAACAAAATATACAAAAAATTCCATACGGTCTACTTGGAGTAAATCCGTTTGCGTTTTGAAAATTATAATATTTTTTAAAACTCTGCTCCGTATGGGTTACCGAGAGGGTCAACCTTAGTCAGGGTTATAAGGTCAAGGCCTGAACCCTCGAGGTATTCAAAGAGCTGCAGTGCGATGTACTTTGCCGTGCATAAGAAAAATCAATATACGTATATATATATATATATATATAGGTATAATCGAGCGTACATCACCAGTCGCGAGGCTTTATCGACGTATCAATCGTAATCGAACGGAAATGCCGATTTAATTATTCAAAATAATCGTTTAGACGGACTTACGTGCTGCTCGTGTTTTTAACCCGCGGCTTTAACGATTTCATCTATTTCCGTACGGCACGCCAGTTCTTGCCACTTATTCTACTTGGGAATTATCAAAGCAATTTTACTTTGGGTATCCTATGCCATTTGGAACTTTTCCTTGACAGCTCTGGCAATCTCGTACATCCATCTCAATCGGTATAAT